AGCGCGTTACCACTGGGCTACCACTGCATATCTATAAGTACTAAAAATATAAACAGGCACAGTTTGTTTGTTTATTTGAACGCATTAATCGCAGGAACTACTAATCCGATTTGAAAAATTCTTCATCTATTCGATAGCCCGTTTATTGAGGTAGGCCGTTTACAGGAGAAAGATGTTGCCTAAATTTACGTCTATGGCACACAAAAAAAAATTATAAAAGTGTCTGAACATATATACATATTTATTTCCAATTGTCGGAATTTGTCCCAGTAATTGATGTCTCGACGACGAACTATCATAATGTGCACTAAGCTTTATATTAATAACTTAATCTATGTTTTATATCTTTTAGAAGGCTAAATAAGAAAAAATTAAAAAATATACAAAAAGTTTATCACTACTCATCACGATTTTTGTATTTAAATAAAAAGTGACTAGTAATAAATAAATATTAAGAGCGTAATTATAATCTGATAAACACTCTTTAGATATAACAAATAGAATTTAATATTATTTTGCGATAAGTTAGTGAGTTTGTTTGTAGGGAGCCAACTACAGAATTAATGCTTCTAATCTGAAAGCTCATGTATGTACTAGAGTATTATATTATCATGTGCTAAATTATTAGTAATAATTAGCTTTTTTATAAACTTTTAATTACTTTTATTTTATAGCATACGCCATTCACTGATAACTAACAAAACATTTGACTTTAATTTATCAATATTATTTCGTTATTTTAATTTGTCTCTTTTAAAACTGCAACTGTCTTCCTTCATATTATAAGTTTACTACCACTTTACCAAATCAGAATACAATTATATGGAAATGCGGAAGTATATATAAATAAATATAAATATTAGGACATTAACACACATCACCATCAAGTTTCATAGAAAGCTACGAGGCTTGTGTTATGGATACCAGATAGTTGATGAACTATACATACATACCTTTAAATACATACATATTATTAATATAAATAACCATGACTGGAGTACAACCTATAATCTAAGTACCTTCAAGGCAAGAGTGAAGAGGCATTTTCTAGGCAAGCGCGCTACAACCTAGACCTCATCAGTGCTTCCCAGCGCTGATTGTAGTCAAGCGCAAGCCTATCGTACAATAAAAAAAAAACAAACATTTGTGCTCATCACACAAATGAATCCCCCCAGTAGGACTCGAATCTGTGGCCGCTGGCACAGCAAGTAGGGTCATTATAAACTGATCCAAACGTGTCGTCGTATGTGTGTATGTTACTTCTTCACATTGTGACAGCTGGACGGATTTCAATGTTTAGCACATAAGTTGACTGAGCTGGAGTAACATATGTATAGGCTACTGTTAGGCACATTGACAATGAGAATAAGTTGCTAGTACTCGTATAAGCACAAGTTGAGGCAGTAGTAGCCCAGTGGTAACGCACTTGCTCGGGAAACCGAGTGAAGCGGGTTTAAGTCCTAGGTCTCGCACCTCTGATATTTTCATGTGCGAATCATTTCCAACATGATTACCACTTGCATTACGGTGAAGAAAAACATCGTGAGGTAACCTACGTGGCTGATAGAACTTAGTAAGTTTTCGAAAGACATGTGAAGTCCGCCAATCCGCACTTGGTCAGCGTGGCGGACAATGGCCTGATCCCCCTCGTATAGAAGGGAGGCCCGTGGCCAGCAGTGGGACGTTAAAAAAAAGGCTGAATACAATACAATAAGCCCAAGTCGTGAGGAATATCATAATATTTTATAACTTTATTCCATGAGTATATTTATAATCTCAATCATACTCTCAACGTGAGGTACCGCAAAACCGCAACGTCTCGGCATAAGAAATAATTGCGTACCTGCCATCTATACATATAATAAAATTGTAACTAAGCCGAATCTGTACATTGAATATTTTTGGAAAATCTTATTGAAATAGACATTATTATCGATACAGAGGCCGAATCTATAGTTTTTAGGATTTTTGTCTATCTGTCTGTCTGTGATGCGGTAGTGGTCTGCAATTGTGGTTATCCGGGTCAACATATAGGATACTTTTTACCATGGGTCAACATATAGGATACTTTTTACCGGGTCAACATATAGGATACTTTTTACCATGGGTCAACATATAGGATACTTTTTACCGGGTCAACATATAGGATACTTTTTACCATGTCTCATTTCTGAGAAAAAATACAAAAACTACAATGTAACAGTATACCTACTAATACCTATGTAAAACCTAAGAATTTGGTTTTTGGTCATCTGAACGCGGGCGGAGCCGCCGGAAATGCTAGTTGATATATAAAAACATGATACATATTTTCCAACAAGTATTTCTTCAAAAAGTGGCGTCGAAATGATGTCAAGTCAAACCAAATAATTAAAACTCAAAAATCGAAAGTTCTAATTGTATAAACAAATTCGAACTTATAAAACGAACGAACCATATAAAGTATTTTTTTAAACGTAACAACGTGCGTTTAATTTTGTCATACGAAAAGCAATGAACAAAAGAGATATGAAGAAAGTGCATAATTTCGGATTATGCACTTTTTTTGAGGACACTTGAGACTTCTAATTGCGTAAATGAGTTTTTATATATCAATGTCTCAAGCGTATGTGTCTTGTTTTTTTAAATAAAACTATATTTTCGGATTTTTTCGCGAATTTATTTTGATTTTTGGTTCCCGACGTTTCGAATGCTTTACAGGAATCATGGTCACGGGAGAGACTTGTCATATGTTTATGAAGCAATCAATGTTTATGAGCTTCTGCGTATTTTTTATCACTTTATCGACAATCTCTACATTGAGGTCCCGATGGAGATCGTCATTTCGTACAAGGGTGCATTAACGATTCCCCTGAGAACTTTGTTTTAGAATAGTTGGAATAATAATATGAGAAAAGATTTCTATAGGAGTCATTAACATAGCACAATAATTTAAAGTTGTCTATATCGGAACATTGAATTAAGCTGTAACGGGACTAAGCAGTACAATTAAATTGTTTTGAATTCATGATGTCCAATCATGATGATGTCTTTAGAAGAAAAGAGAAGTAGAAGCTGAGAAAACATCTTTAAGTTTGGTGTCTCTTTTCAATACGCACTGCTTGAAGCAAACGAGCGACTATATGGTTTAGCGTACTTTATTTGTAGAGTTTTTCATAATTTAGTGTTGTTGCTTCATTTTAATGTTAATTATATTTGAATTATACAAACCTTTTAAGGTGCGAAAGGAGAAAGCTAAAAATAATAATAAAATAAATAACAACTGTACATTTAGCCATTTTTAGAATACTAATACCGCGATTTGTCTTTAATGGATCATAAATCATAATAAATCTCTACTGAACCTTAGGTAGAAATCGAACCTACAGCACCTCTAGCACAGTACAAAACCTGTTAAAACAATGCTACTAGGCAACAACGTTATATGTAAATTACACGCAATTTAATTAAGTTTTTCTGCTTTAAATAGGTATCTACTTAACTTTAAGACGTTCTCATATCAAAAAAATCTTCTTAATAATGCATAACATGGATACAGAACTGCCTTTGTATAGACCATTAAGCACATAACATAACCTTTACTTGGCATCGTAACACATTTATGTACCTATAGCCACAAGTAGTAAATCATTTTAATTTTCTTGCCCCTTGGAATATTTAATTAGCAAAGTAATTATGAGTTTACTTATTTGAAATCAGACTTACCGTTTACTTTATTCAAATCATATCTAAAGTTAATCTTGAATATGTATGTAAGTCCTACGTAATTCCTAAGTAATAACGACTCAAGCGAGTAAATGTGGAACATAAGGCTTAATTGTGCAAAATTACAGCCACAATGTTTAACATCCCACTGCTGGGCATGGGCCTCCCTTTAGTACAAGGAGAATCAGGCCATAGTCCACCACGCTGGCCAAGTGCGGGCGGACTTCACATGTCTTTTGGAAACTTGCTAGGTTTTCTCAGACCTCACGATGTTTTAGACGACAGGTTTGGCTCAGTTGGTAGTGACCCTACTTGCTATTTCAGCGGTCGCGGGTTCGAATCCCGCTGGGGCCATTCATTTGTGTGATGAGCACGGATGTTTGTACTCCAATCATTGGTGTTTATATTTATAATATGTATTTAAAGTTATATATGTGTAGTGTATCAACTATCTGGTATCCATAACACAAGCCTCGTAGCTTACCATGGAACTAGATGGCGCTGTGTGTTAATGTCCCAACATTTATTTACTTATTTATTTCCTTCACCGTTAAGACAAGTGGTAATCATGTTGAAAATGATACTATGTACAATATTATTACAAGTAGTATAATTTGCGGCATAGCGTCTTGGCAATGTGTATATTAAGCGATATATTTTTCAATTGCGAATAGATTTTTATGAATTCCTTTTGTAAGTTTCCTTATACCTTAACGTGAGCACATTAAAAGTTCAACAAAATGTCACCCCTAAGAGTTAACTACTTCTAAGTAATAATAGCTTTCAGGTGCTTTTGAAGTCAAGTCTTTTGTTACAAACTAAATATACCATTTAACCAGGATAGCATAGTTCAAAGAGATCAAAAATTCGAAAGTTAGTTTATGTTTATTTTATTTTGAGTTTAGCTATGTAATTTAGTCAGTTGAAGTGAAATTAACCTATCATTTGTAATTCAGAGGACAAACAATACATTAAATTCTACACAACACTTATAACTCGAAAACTGATGGACCTGTTTTTTGAGATCTTTGTTTGTAGCAGAATAACTATTAAAAAATCGAAAAAATTCCCAATAAAATATTTGGAAACAAAATCTATTCCATACTAAGCGTCAAAACGTACGTAAGGACGAACCTGAGCGAAGCGAGGGTGAATCGCTAGTACAATATCATCGAAAGTTGCTCAGCAAAGACATCATAAAATAACGATTATAATATATTATACTTAATTACTATTCTTAATAAGGATGTTTTTAAATTCCATGCTGAATGTAAAAAATCCATTGTCTGTTTCAGTTCGATGAGTTCGTGCGCTCTCTGCAAGTGGACCCTCACTCCCCCCTCTTCAGGCTCGTCACAGACGGACAGCCACCGCTCAGGTGTGTATATTATCCATTCATTATACTAACATTCGTAGTCTAATTGCTACGCTAGTCGGGGGTTCGATTTATATCTAAACTAACCTGTAAGGTCATATGTAATATTTGAACGGTGTTGGTCGTAATCAGTCTAATAAATTAACTTTAATATCAACCACATCATGGAGAAAATGGAGTAAAATGGTTAAGTATTTGACATAAGGCATTATTGTGTATTTTATGAAAATGCCAAGTGTTTGTTAGAACATAATATAGTGGATTAAAAGAACCTAATTAAAAAAATCATCTCTAAGAATAATAAAACTTAAAATTATTTTAATTAATTAAACATCAACAAGAAACTTCTAAATCATAATCTAACTTTAATCAAAGCCAGTGTAAAGCTAAAAAAGTCTCAAACAGTATGTCTGCGATTATTAAGATATTTTGTACAGTTATCAATCAACTTACCTCATTTACTTCACTCACCTGGTAAGCTATTATAAAATGACTATTATCGCACAGGTAAGCTGTGTTTAAAGGTAACATAATATTAGAATATGGTAACGGCTGATTAACTAGAGCTGTCTTCTTTGAAATTACAGATGAATTTACAATATCCACGTGCCTCTATACTCTATATTCCTAACAGTAGATACACTTATATATGGTTAATAGTAATATCTAATTATCTGTATAAATAATAATCTGATATTTTCACGTAAGAATCATTTCCAACATGATTACCACTTGTCTTACGGTGAAGGAAAACATCGTGAGGAAACCTTATGTCTAAGAGAACCTAGTAAATTTTTAAAAGACATGTGAAATCCGCCAACCCGCACTTGGCCAGCGTGGTGGACTATTGCCTGAACCTCCATTAAAGGGAGGCCCGTGCTCAACAGTGGGATGCTATAAACGGCTGAAAATATACATACACATACAGGAAGGACCACTTTTTGTCATAACTGTCAGTAGCCTATGTGATACTCCAGGCTATCCTACCTATCTGTGTCCTAAATTTAAACCAAATTCATCCAGCCGTTTCAGCGTTAAGGAGTGACGAACATTCACATAAATTCATTGGCATTTTTAAATAATAGTGTGAGTATTATTTATTTTACAACGGTATAGTTAAACCAAACAACTCAACAACAAAGTACTGCTTGGTCTTGCTACAGTTTATTTAAATTTTATATTTATTTAATATGTATGAAGCACACTGTGAATTTACATTTGGTTATTTTGATTTATCATAACTTAAAGCTATTTCCATTCTGTACTATATTTTACTCCATATACAGAAAAGTTCTTATTTTATAACATACTAGCGACTCCCCCTCGCTTCGCTCGGGTTCGTCCCTAGCTTGATTCCCCTTACAAACTTTCATCCCCATTTTCATCACCTTAAGGGATGATTTCCGGGAAAAGTATCCTATGGTCCTCCCCAGAGTCTAAAACTATGTTCTTAGCAAAATTTCATCTAAATCGGTTCAGTAGATCCTGAGATTACCCTACAACATCACAAACTCACAAACTTTACCTCTCTACAATATTAGTATAGATAAATAACAAATAATACAACCAATTCATATTTGAATGATTAAGATCTAAGCATCATTTCAACTGTCACATCATGCTGACTAACCATGGAATATAATAATATAATTCCATTATTACTTGAGGAAGGTCAATAGTGTCAACAAAAGTATTTTTGAACGCTCAACGTTTCGATACCGATCTACCCTGACGTCCGGTGCCAGGCGTTTAACATGAAAATGCATCGATTTCAATATAATTTTATCTATTCTAATTCTATTCGAGGATATTTTAAATAAAACTATCTTTTCGGATTTTTTCGCGGATTTATTTGGATTTTTGATTTCCGACGTTTCGAATGCTTTACAGCGATCATGGATGGTCACGGGATGTGATGAACAATGACGTGCATACACTTGATATTCAAGTGCTAAGAATTAAGTGGGATATTGTGTTTTTGAGTTTTGTGATTATCAGTTAACCATTTATCTGGGATATTCTTGTTGGTTAATCAATTCTTACTTGAAGCAATGAATATGTCGTGTTTGTTTGTGTTGAGAATTCTTTCGTGGTCAAACCTACTTTTGATTGACAAAAACAGTCAAAAGTAGTTTCGACTATATGCCAATCAAAACTGCTATTGACCAAGATCTTTAGTCAAAACTACTTTTGACCAACCTCTTTAGTCAAAAGTAGTTTTGACTAAAAAATACGATAAAATCAGTTCTTCTCAATCTCCTTTAGGGGATCAGTTTTCAAAAATATTAGTGCTTATTAGTTATACGAGGAAATCTTGTCTTGTATAAAATTACATGCTGTCAGTCAGTGTATTAACGAATTCAAGTCTTTTCGAGAAATATTTTTAAACAACATATAAAAGATTATTTATATTAGTACATACTTAGTATATCCATATCTAGTTATATTTTTAACTAAACAAAAATTGGTCATCCATTAATGTCCAAACGGACGCAACATCCACATTATGTTTCGTTTCGTTCACCGCAAACTTACGTAAGGTACACTAAGATGCCATAATTGCCGCTGTTTGACAGCAATCAAGGGTAATCTTTACGAAACTAATGTATTTCACCAACAATATAAGTTTATAAGCGATAATGATCAAAATGGCGTTAGTTTTAGAAGAAAAAAGCTTAAGTGTTGTATTTAGTATTGTGGCCATCTGTTACAAAATAATCATTGTAGCCCATTGGTAATGCACACACTTGAAAAATCAAATGAAGTGGGTTCAAATTCCGGGTCTCGCATTTTCAAAATGATATCTGTATAATAATACGATGAAGAAAAATATCCAAATATCTAAGAGAATCTGAGTAGTTTAATCCGAAAAACGAATCAAGTCCACTAACCCGCGTTTTTCCAACGTTGTAGACTGTACTGTCTTCGTTTTGACCACCTTACGTTTGGGTATCAGTACGCAGTGACATTCAAAGGAGCTAAATTATTGATTTATAAAATAAAATGTCCAAAAGCATTATATATTGACACGTTTGGCTCAGTTTGTAGCGACCCTACTTGCTGTGCCAGCGGTCGCGGGTTTGAGCCCCGCTGCCGGCATTCATTTGTGTGATGAGCACAAATTTTTGTACTCGAGTCAAGGGTGTTTATATTTATAATATGTATGTATGTATTTAAAGTTCTATAATTATATTGTGTATCAACTATCTGATATCAATAACACGCCTCGTAGCTTACCATGAAACTAGATGGTGCTGTGTGTTATTTTCGCAACATACTTATTTATATATTTTTATATAACCGCATTTATTATATAAAATCGCAGTCGTATAAGCTTTGATTTTGTGTCTTACTAAAATAATAAAAAAATGTTAAACTATAAAAACTTATATCTTTTTACGAAATTGACATGTATACGAGTAGATTATGTTACCACAATCGGTTCTCTGCTTGTTGTTTTTGTAATAAATGTTTTGAAATATAATGCAAGGCAAAACAATTTACTGACCTTTTTTCATGTACTATGACGGAAACACAATATTTTTATTCCACAGACTTAGAATTTGACAGAAGCTTTTTTATATAAAAAAATAATGTAGCGAGTTATCGTTTTACTCGATTCATGTTAGGTTCAAGAAATAGTTTTTCAATTATCTACCAATAAATAGGAAATATTTGTTTGTTTATTTATTTGTAACCATTAAGTACATAATGTTTATATAATTTACATAATTGCTTTGTTGGTCTTACTAGCTCGTACTCAGGACCTACATGGTTCTGAGTTCGAGTCCTAAGTTGTGCAAAGTATAGTATTGAATATTTTAGCAAACATTTCTCAGTCACAACTTGGGAGCAGTTAAAGATTGTTGTTGATCTCTTGCCAGCTATGTCCTTTTGTCCCATCAGAGTTTAAAAGAATATAGTTGAGTCTGGGAATTGAGGCCAGTCTCAGTGAGATTGGCCACCGCGACCAGTAATCAGAAGAACATTAATATAGGCCATTTTTATGACATACCACAAAACCGCGAATCACTTATATATTTTTTTTAAATAACTTGTTTTTTATCTGTTAAAGAAATGTTTGATTATACTAAATAAAAAAATATTTAACACTATAATATGTTATAGTTGTATATATAACAAAATATTTAATTAAATTAGGAATAACCGTATCACGATACAACTAAGAGAATGATTAGCCACTAAATATTATACTTAGTGAAGTCCAAATGACGTTATCAGCTGAGAATAAGTGTTAGTAAACTAAAGTTATCTAGATTTTAGATGCAATCGTGTATTACCACTAGTTTCTTATCTCTTATCATTACGACTCTGCATTATTATGTTGTTTTTATGTTAATGTATCGTTGTAAACAAAATGTTAAATGACAATACTTACGAGTATTCCGAGGTTTTAGTATCCAATAAAATGTATAATATTTTAAAGTTAGAAATAATAAATAATATTAATCCCTCCACGACCGCGGACACGCCGGTGTGTCAGTTAACAATAGATTTCTTAGAATTTTTATTAATTTCTTAGAAACTTACCTGGAGGTGTTAATTTCCTAAATCCACAAATTATAAGTTATTTTTTAAAATATTGACCCCATTGATTAATGTACCCAATAGTTGATGGACCACTCGGTCGACCATGCGCAAGGCCAGCCTTACGTGCTTTTTCGTGCGGTATATGAGGCGTGGGGCTGAAATACTGCCAAATTCCCAATATCACTACTAACAATTTTTTAAATAGAATAATCCAATAACTATTCTTCTCACAACCTGGGATTTGAACTACAATAATTTACCAAGAGTAATTGTAGCTTGACTCAGTCTAGCCCTTAAGTAATCTTTATGTAAATAAACACTCTTTTTTTTTTTTTTTTTTATGTCGGGAAATGCATTTACGCATACCACCTGATCCCCCAGGTGGTGATGTGGGGCTCACCGGCTAGAAGAGCCGGTACTACCCACTAAAACCCGACATTCCCCTCCCCTCCGCCTTAATGGGACGCCGCAGGATCGCTTGCGCATAACTACTACGGCGCCCCGGCGGCAGGTCTGCCTAAAAAGGCAGATCACCAAACCAATGGGGCTGCTCCACAGTCAACTCTGCTACGCCAGAGAGGTACCCGGAGCAGCCCCATTAAACCTAACCACCGCCCACCGAAGTGGGCCACCTCCAATCGGCTGCAGAGGACAGGGAGAGCGGCAACGAAACACCGACACTCCCCTTCCCTGCAGCCCCACCGCGTCCGCCATCGAACGGTGGCGGCCCCGTCTAGGCCGCGGAAGGTAGGGAGAACGGCGCACCGAAATACCGGCACGCCTCTCCCGCCGCGGCCTACTCCTCCGCCGGATGCGGGCCTGCGACCACAGTCCCGCAACCGGCACCCATCATCCGGTTGTGGGACCAAGCGGTCCCACCACCGGTGGCCGCAACGTCTTCGGCTCGAGGCCTAGACGAGCGGCCCCATCCAAGCCATTTGGTCCGCGCCGGATTTCTCCGGTACCACCCGCCGCCCTAAGCGGGTGGCATTCCCCTATCCGCCACCTGGGGACGCGCCCGGTAGGCCCGGTAGTTGGTTTCTCCCCCGGGAATAAACACTCTTTCGCAACTCCGTTTAAATAGGAAAACCTCACTAGAACACATAACAATATAATAAACAAAATAATAACATAACACAAGTTAAGATTAATTATTATTATCCGTATTATATTATAAGTGAATCTGTTATAATATAGTGATGAGATAGCACAATCAAATTCGATAAATCGATAACAATGACTTTTACAAAATATCGAGTCGTAATTATAATAGGGTTACTAAGCAACAAGGCTGTCAAATAAAAACATAGTTATTGCAATGGATTATTATTTAAATACATAATCCATACTAATATTATAAATCTGAAAGTGTGTTTGTTTGTTTGTCCTTCTTTCACGTCGAAACAGAGTGACGGATTGGCGTGATTTTTTGTGTGGAAATAGTTGAAGGGCTGGAGAGTGACATAGGCTACTTTTTACCGCGGAAGCTTATTTCATTCCCGCAGGAAAACTCGTTATAATACAACCCAAAAAATATTTATGATCAGAATTACCTCAGACTTGGAAACTGCTCTCAATATAATTAATGAAAGTTTGTATGAAACCCACCATTTTAGAGTTTTTATTTGTGGTTTTAGCGCGAGCGAAGCCGCGGATCCTGCTAGTAAATAATAATACTATAGTAATAACATTAGAAATAGAGTATTATACCTAACATCTTACTTTTTTTTTTGACTGAGCCAAAATTTAAATTGGATTCCAGCAATTTGGATAATAAATGCCTACTATAACTCTCGCTTTGACAACAAACCGGTTATCTGTAAAGTATCTAATAAGCAATACTGGGATGTTTTTAATTGACGCATAACTTAATTTTATACCTGACGTATATAATTAGTAGGTATTGTGGTTTTACCCACGAGTCCACTTTTTAGTCAATGCTCATTAAATATGACCCCCGCTATATATGGGAATGAATACAACGTAAATTAAGGTCATTCGTAGCTTAAATATCTTTGGCTTTTTTTAGGTTTTCGTTAGCTATTTTTTGACCGACTACAAATAGGAAGACTAGAAGAGGTAACCAATTCGGGTGAATCTTTATCTATACTAATATTATAAAGATGTAAAGTTTGTGACGTTGTACGGGGTAATCTCTGAATCTACTGAAGTGATTTAGATGAAATTTGGTATGACGATAGTTTGAGACCCTGGGAAGGATATAGGATACTTTTATCCCAGAAATCATCCCTGAAGCTGGTGAAAATGGGAAAGAAAGTTTGTATGGGGAATCAAGTTAGGGATGAACCCGAGCGAAGCGGAGGTGAGTCGCTAGTTCTTCTATAATACACAAATTTCATGATTAGGTTATACATTAAAGGCAAAAAGCCCATAGTCCACCTCGCTGATGAAGTGCGGGCTGGTGCATTTCATGATGTCTTTCGAAAACTAATTAGATTCTTCTCAGCCTAATTTGTTTTCGAATTACGATGTTTTCTTTCACCGTAAAGCAAGTGATAATCATGTTCAAAATGGTTCGCAAATGATAATCCGTTGTTTGGTCACTCTTCAGTCACCACTACCACCACTCTATAAATGGCTCCTTATTATATAAACTTTAACACAAAAAGTTTACTTCTAACGATGGAATAATAACTTTAAAGGGATTTTAAAAGTCGGTCTTTATATTAATTTAAAAACGAACTTTGTTATTTTACATTGTTTATTGTATGTATATGTATTTTACCTACATATACCTACCTTGTCATACCACTCAATAGCCTTCGACATAGCTTAACGACTTCTATGGATAACAATTGAGAACGAGGGTTTAACTTGTCTTTTAAATCATGTAAACGCTTTTGATTTATCATTAAATGGTAACCCATCTAAATGTGTATCGTAGAGAATGTAGCTTGACTGTAGATGTCATGTGCTAGTTCTATCATAATTTTATGTTGCCATTCTATTTCCAGGCAATGTCTTCACCCAGAAGCGTGCAGTAAGGACATAACCCTCCCAACATACTACGCCCGTTTCCATGATCTTCGCAAGGAATATGTTCGCGCGTATACTTTGCGGGCAGTCACGAGGGCGCAACCTGCACCTCCTCCTCCTGACCATCCTGGGTCCCTGGTGGATATGGTTAATTGTATCCTTTTAAAATATATCTTTCTTAAATATGGAAGGATCAATTTAGGTAAGATAGTTGTTTTTTTTTTAATCTCTTACTGCGACAAAAAACGAATATTGTTCCTATAAATAAATATGAATACGTATCTTATAACTGATTTAACAAAATACGCTTTTAACGCGATTTTCTTGGTGTTTAATCTTAGAATGACTAAATAGACACACTGTCGACTTGACAAGTGACAGAATAACAATACCCCACTGGGATAAAGACGCTTAATTTCGTAATGTAAAAAGTACCTACTTATTTGATAAAACCGTTTTAATATGCTCTTGATTTATCCAAAAACCTAAACAAAATATATAAGACCTATCTATCTACGTTACCTATCTCAAAACAGCTGAAGAACATTAGTGATATTAATGAACACTAACTTCTATCACTATAGCTCGAAAGGTAAAGTGTTGGCGAGAAAATACAGTAAAAAATAAATAGAAAGAGAAAAAAGATAGGAGATATAATAGACGTCGATGACATGACGCCATGAATAAAATCTTTTTAATCTGTATCTACGTATAGTAAAATTCTAAGTCGAATCTGTACGTTAAATATTTTTTTGGAAAATCTTATTGAAATAGTCATTATAATCGATACAGATTCTGAATCTATAGTTTTTAGATTTTTTCTCCGTCTGTTTGTCTTTCTGTCTGGGAACATAACACGAGAAAACCACTGGACAGATTTTGATGAAATTTGATATGATGAGAAATGTATACTAAAACGTTAAAACGGACGAACCCGAGCGGAGCGAGTGTGAGTCGCTAGTACCTACGCTTTAAATTAGTTAAAAATTCAAATGTTATTAACAAAATAACTCAAATCAATTATGTTCATACTCGTATGTGAGTGTTAAAACGAATAGAAACATGATAATTTATGTGTTAAAAACAAAATAATTTAGTTCACCTCAGAGTCAAATACTTGGATGTGAGGAAAGAGTTTTGTAACATTTTAGTTAACACTGATTAATATGCATATTATACGTTAGTTGTTTGCACAGTTTATATCTTGTTAAAATAAACCATCTTTTTAATTGTCTATACATATAATAAAATTGTAACCAAGCCGAATCTGTACATTAAATATTTTTTGGAAAATCTTATTGAAATAGACATTATTACCGATACAGAGGCCGAATCTATAGATTTTAGAATTTTTGTCTGTCTGTCTATTACCGCATCACAGAAAAAACACTGGCGGTATTATGATGAAATTTGGTATGGTGATAGCTGGTAATCCGTGTCAACATATAGGATACCTTTTACCGCGGGAAAATACCTATCTCATTTCTGAGAAAAAATACAAAAACTGCAATTTAAGAGTATACTAATATGTAAAAGCTAAGAATTTGGTTTTTTACGCAGGCAGACCCGCGGGCTATGCTAGTTCATCTATAAATATTTGAAACTAATATATGTACTTAGAATAATAAGTTTAAAAATTGCCTTTATAAAACGGAAAAAAATCTGAAAACGTGTTATTTCGTATTTATCTACAATTTATTATAAAAATTTATTTAATACTAGCTTTTGGCGGTGACTTTGCTCGCATTATTTATTTATCTGTAACTTATAAATACTTCGCCTCTATGAGTCGCGCCGTGGTGTTAGACACCTTATAAGCATGCTTAATGAATCTATACTAATATAATATTATAAAGAGGCAGAGTTTGTTTGTTTAATTGAACGCGCTAATCTCAGAAACTACTAATCCGATTTGAAAAATTATTTTTGCATTAGATAGCCCGTTTATTGAGCAAAGCTATTAAAGAAGGCTATATCATCATGCTACTACCCAAAGAAGCGGAGCAGTAATATATTATAATATAGTCTATCTATTTCACACTAACCGTTAAAACGTACCCAGGAACGAACCCGTGCGAAGCAAGGGTGAGCCGCTAGTATCTTAATAAATAAAAAAAAGTGAAATACCGTCATCAATAAATATATGCTGTAAAATACAAAAAATAAATATCAGACAAGTAATTCTAGAGATATGCGCTTTAAAACAAACTAAAAAACAAATAATCTCTTTAGCTTTATAATATTAGTATAAATGTATAGAAATGTAATATCGTAAATTACACACTGGTTCTAACAAGTTCATGCAAAACCGGAAGGACGTGTGTTGTAACGATGTAGTTTCATAATCATTAACTTAATCACACGATCAATCGTACAATGATGGTATGATGTTGTTTATAAAAGCTAATGCAGTCTTAATCTGAATACAATTAATATTACGATAGTATATGCGTATGTCTGTTACTTCACACTTACGGTTGGACGGATTTGAAGGAAATCTATACGTACATCTATACTAATATTATAAAGAGGTAAAGTTTGTGAGTTTGTGATGTTGTAGGAGGTAATGTTTGGATCAACGGAACCGATTTAGATGAAATTTGGAAAGAAGATAGTTTGAGACCCTGGGAAGGACATAGGATACTTTTTGTCTCGGAAATCATCCCTTAAGGTTGTAAGGTGAAAATGGGTATGATTTTTTTTTTGGGAAACAAGCTAGGGAGGAACCCGAGCTAAGCGAGAACGAGTTGCTAGTATTTAATCGAATCTGTACATTAAATATTTTTTTGATAAATCTTATTGAATTATTAATGAAAATAGTTATTATTATCGATACAGATGCCGAATCTATAGTTTTTAGATTTTTTGTCTGTCCGTCTGATCGCATCACAAGAAAACCACTGAACAGATTTTAATGAAATTTGGTATACAGATAGACTAACCTGGGGTAACAACACATAGTCTACTTTTAGGGGAAGCTTATTTTTATTACTCCGCTTTTTATCTTCATATTGGAATTTTAGATAACGCAAACGAGTAATCAGAGTTAGTTAACTAAATATATGTAGTTATTGTTGCGAAGTAATTGCACTTTTTGTTTTAAGGCAAAAATATACAACTTTACATATTATGTTTTAATATCACTTAATAGGTCGGCCTCTAATTTTGCAGCTAAATTAAGTTCGGGCAGCAAAAAATGGACACGTTTTGTTTAGGTAATACGTAAAATTAAGTATTATCTCTTAAAGCTCTTATATAGCTTTTGCCTAACCGGACCAAAACAGAAATGTGTATGATCAGTATATTACTTGTATATTTTATCACTTGCGGGGATCAAACTTCAATGTATATGATCAATAGGTTATACTTGTATACTTTTATCATTTGCGGGGATCAAACTTACATACTTCAATATACCAATCACCATCTAAGCTCAATTATATGATAAGATTAATTAGGTATACTTAGTATTGGGAAAATTATAATTGTGTATTTTTTTAAGTAATAAAAATTAATACGTTGCCTTAAATATTTTAATTAATTTACATATTATTATAACCGCATATATAATTTAGTATATTTAAATTTTCAAAGCAATATGACCCTTATATAGTACAGATTTAGGTATAACTCCGTACGCCGGCGAAAATTTCTACGCAGCGGAAGTGAAAGACATGGCGAGTGTGATACAAAGGATAATTGCAGATGGTAAGTGTCATATTTTTTATCAAATTATTGTACATAGTGTGTTTATTTAGTGTTGCTATATCAGTTTTTTCAAATATCTTCACTTGAGGAGGGCAAAAGCGAGGTTATGATGAAAAATCTTGTTGGGCTGAAAAACATTCCATATGGTCTAGGTATATGGGGTAGTAACTAGTATCTGTCAATAGAAAACCCATTAAAATAAAAAGCTTTGAATATTTTTAAAACTTTACTTTTTGATTACTTTGAATAAGGGTACTCAGTTGGCTTTTTATTTTTTGTGTGTAATATACAATAATTTTGCTAAAGAAGAAAGGAATTGCTACATCCCCATCCTTTTAAATGCTCTAAATGTAATACTTCGTTAGATTTACGCGAATATTTGACATTTCTAATAGAACTATCTTTTTAAATACAACTAACTATCTTTTCGGATTATTTTGATTTATTTATTATTTATTATATTTCGCGGAAAGATTTTTGGCTCCCGACGTTTCGAATGCTTTACAGCAATCAAGGTCACGGGAGAGACTTAAGGTTTTTTACCCACAATTTTATAAATTTTAATATATCACCAAAGTTAGTGAATAAAAAGATAGTTTTATTTAAAACGTCTTACGTTCGCGTATATCTAAGACAGCATTATGAAATCTATCGTTTCAGATTGTTTCTCAGATTTATTTTGATTTTTGATTTCCGACGTTTAGAATGCTTTACTGCACGGTCACGGGACAGACATTCGTTAAAATATCTAAATCCAATGTGCTATTATCAATTCAATTTATTAAATACTAGCGATTCACCCTCGCTTCGCTCGGGCTCGTTCCTGGGTTGATTCCCCATACAAACTTTCATCCCCATTTTCACCCCCTTAAGGGATGATTTCTCTGATAAAAAGTATCCTATGTCCTTCCCAGGGTCTCAAACTATCTTCTTACCAAATTTCATTTAAATCGGTTCAGTAGATCCAGAGATTACCTCCTACAACGTCACAAACTCATAATTCACAAACTTTACCTCTTTATAATATTAGTATAGATACGACTTCTAATGGTGTTCAAACACCATGCAATTTAGTAAAAAATATTAATTTGTTATAGTAGTAGGCTAGATATACACTTTGCCATAAAATATTAAGTAGTGTACCATAAAGTTGCTCAATAGATTACATTTGTTTAGTCAAATCATAAAATTACATTCAGATTTTTAAACACACATAATACTAAATAAAATTTAATAATATACATATAAGGATGCAATAAAAAACTCATTATTTAGATATTTTACATGTAATTAAGAATATTGTCTTAGACTCGTCTTTTAACTTTTTAAGTATACGCTAACCATTTATGGAGATAATGAAGACGTTTAGAAACACATCGTATTTTTGACAGAGACATATTATAATGTGTCGTGTATACGCTATGTGTAATTTATTTAAATTGTCTTTCGTATTAATTGTGTTGAAGTAATATTTTTACGTAAATCTTTATTTTATAAGAAAAATTAAAGTGTCCGTCGGTGATTTCTCCTACTCAATTTTGAGGTCATTTTTTTTAGTGACTTAAAGTTACTTTGCGGTTATATAACGAGTCGTTTGGCTCAGTTTATAGTGATCCTACTTGCTGTGCCAGCGATCGCGGGTTCGAGTCTCGTTGGGGGCATTCATTTGTGTGATGAGCACGAATGTTTGTACTCCAGTCATGAGCGTTTATATTTAAAGTTATGTGTACTGTATAACTTATCTGATATCCATAACACAAGCCTTGTAGTTTACCATTAAACTTGATGGTGCTGTGTATTAATGTCCCAACATCAAAAAAAATTTGTGTACCAGTAAGTCCAAATAATCATTAATAATTTTGTCTATCTGTATGTCTGTCTGAAAGATATTACTGTTATCCTGGTAATAAAGTAAAATAAAGTAGAAAATTAGCTTACACTATTTAATGGGACACTTGATGGGTTATTGTAAGTTGGAAGTTATATTTAGAAATAATTTCACTTTTACGTGTTAGGCAGTTGGAGGTTGCAAATTAAATATATAGCGTTATTCATTATTATTAAGAAATCAAGCGTTGTAAGTAAATACAATCAAACAAAAAATATTATATAACAATTTTAATTACAGACGTATTATTTTATTTTCAGGATTTAGATTAGAATTACCAGAAACCATCGATCTCGTTTTAGAAACTGGAATTTGGTAAGTGGAAAACTTATTATTTAATTATTATAAACTATTTAATTAGACGATACGTTTGGCTCAGTTTGGAGTGACCCTACTTGCTGTTCCAACAGTCGCAGGTTCGAATCGCGCTGGGATTCATTCGTGTGCAGTGTGATGAGCACGAATGTTTGTACCCCAGTCATGGGTGTTTATATTTATAATATGTATGTATTTAAAATTTTACACATATATGTAGTGTATCAACTATCTGGTATCCGTAACACAAGCCTCGTAGCTTACTATGGAACTAGATGGTGCTGTGTTTTAATGTCCCAACACATTTATATAGTGTCACAGTTTAAACATAAATAAGAACAAAAAATAAATATTGGTATTATTATGAAGAAAAACATTCTGTGACAAATAGCCAATAATAATATCATTCTGACCAATTTCGGCCACGGCGGCAATTATCACTGGCACAAGTTAATTTCGCGGGAGTGTACACTATTACTTTCGCTCTTGAACTTTAGTGAGATGAAAATTTGATACTCGTGCTGAGAGATCAGATACAGGACCGACGCGACACGTGCTCTGTGAGGATTTCTCAGCCTTCCCAACTCCGGGCTACTCCTCAAATTACCTTGACAGATAAACCTAGTAACTTTACTCGGGACTCGAACTCAGGACCTGCGTTTGTGTAGTAGGATGCTAGACCATATATGGCGAATACAGATATTTAAAACTTACGATAGTGGAACACCCAACAAAAATAATTGCTTTGAAGTCTCCTTCGCTTTTAGAAGAAAATAATTATAACGCCTACTGAAAATCTGCAGCAATTAAGTTTATTGTAAACTGTTCTAAAATCTTTCTGAATTATTTATGTTTTATTTATGCAAATTTAAATTATAATATCATTATTTTGCCAATCGTACAATTTACTGATATTTTAGTGTCATATTACCTACCATATAAATTTAAAGAAAACGTCTAGACGACGTAGTCTCAGGGTGGAATATTTTGGAGTGATTTTCCACTCATTTACCATTTTAATCTTACTATCTTAATTCTTACTAATATTATGAATGTGGAAGTTTAAATGATTGGATGGATGTTTGTTACTCAATCGCGTCGCGCCAAAACGGTTGAACGGATTTAGATGTAATTTGGCACAGAGATAGATTAATTATAGTCTAGAATAGCCCATAAGCAAACTTTATATCCCGAAAAAATGTACGGTTCCCGTGGGATAGATTTGTTTTATGCTTTCTTTTAATGTTGAATTACATCTCTATGTTTGATATGTATCTAAATTAAGCGTTAATTGTAAAAGGTTTTTAGCATACATTATCTAAAACCATACATAACAAATACTAATATATAAAGTTATACGCAAAAATATGTATGACATAATTTTATATTTACCTGTAATAATGTTTATAAGTCACTAGTGGACAAAGGTTACAGAATAAACACTTAAGGACTTGTTATATGTACAAATAATGTGACAAGGAGGTTGTTTACGACAGTACTAACATATAATCTATACATATAATAAAACAGTAACTTAGCGAAATCGATGTGCGCGTTTCACGCTAAAAGTACTGAACCAATTTTAACTAAGTTTTGTGTTGTGATAACCTATTACTCGGGTCAACATTTAGGATACCTTTTGCTACAGTAAAATCTTTCATTCCCACGGGAAAACACAATAAATAAATGGTTCTATCGAGTAGTTCTTAGTTTACATGTCTAACGCTGGCTAAATCTTTAAGAGATACATCAGAAACAATGTACTAGAAAATTGTAGGTCTTAATAAGGTCTAAAGAAAAATCTACAATAGCATTAAGTCTTTCTCCAAAGGTACACTCGCAATAACTATTCATATCTGTTTAAAACGTATCTAGGAACGCACTCGATCGAAGCGAGGGCGTCACTTGTATACCTACTATAAAACTGAAATTAATTTACAAAACTATATATTATGCCAGTGGTCGCCCTTATCGAAAATCGACCATAATGCATTGAGTTTGAGTATATACGAGCAGGTAGTCTGTAATCTTTCTCAACAACTAGATTAAATACTTCTAGAGATTAACACGTGCAGACATACAAACAAACTTTAGTTGTCTATCATACATCACTCAGTAACTTTGAACTTAACATAAATTAACTACACGAGTAAATCCGCAAGCAAGAGCAAGTTAATATTTTTTTTATTTCTTCAGTTCTTCTCTATATAAAGTAACTATGCCAAAGTTTTCTCAGACACAGCATTCCTGTCACGTATTAGTATAAAAAAATAATGTTCTTTTGATCGATATTGACGACGGCAGCTAATCTCACTGAGATAAACCATCTGCCCTTACCTACATATAGATATTTTGCAATTGTTTCAGTCTTTCTAGGATAATCGACCTCTTCATCCTTACAACAACAATTAGTAATATTGCCATCTTTTGGCATGATTTGGAGCCTAGAGTAGCATATTAAGTAATATTACTGTCGAATTAAACGTATTAATTAATTAGTAAACATGTTACATTCTGTTAAAAACTATAACCATAATTTAATAAGAACTTAAAAAAAACCGACTTCCAGGCACTAAAATGTAAAAAAAAACTAAACCGGGGGTTTCATGTAGAATAGATACCTAATCAGATATTATCGAAGTCGGTGCCAGCCTACTAAAAAAATAATGCTCGAAAGAATCATGGGAAGCATCTTATATATTATCATACTAACATAACTCGTTTGGCTCAGTTTGTAGTGACCCTACTTGCTGTGCCAGCGGTTGCGGGTACGAGTCCCGGCGGGGGCATTCATTTATGTGATGAGCACGAATGTTTGTACTCCAGTCATGGGTGTTTATATTTATACTATGTATGTATTTAAAGTTATACAATATACATATGTATGTGTATTGTATCAATTTATCTGGTATCCATAACACAAGCCTCGTAGCTTACCATGGAACTAGATGGCGCTGTGTGTTAATGACCCAACATATTTATTAATTATTTATATTACTACTAGCGACTAAATAAAATATAAATATGAATTGCTTAAAATGAGAATCACTTTATAATGCACTAGCGACTCACCCTTAATTCGCTCAGGTTCGTCCCTAGCTTGATTCCTCATACAAACTTTCATCCCTATTTTCACCTCCTTAAGGGATGATTTCCGGGATAAAAAGTATCCTATGTCCTTCCCAGGGTCTCAAACTATCTTCTTATCAAATTTCATCTAAATCGAGTCAGTAGATCTAGAGATTACCCCCTACAACGTCACTAACTCACACTCTCACAAACTTTACCTCTTTATAATATTAGTATAGATGTTAAAGTATGAGATTATAATAAAATTACGCCTTACTATAAAAAAATACTAATTTTTCTATTATAATAGAGGTCAAATTGATTTCATGCGATCTTAACAAAAAATACCTAATGAAATGTACTTAACTCGTTGTGTTGTTTTTGCATATTAAGTATTTGTGTTATTTATTGGTATTACGTATACTGTTTTTCTTTTAATTATATAATTATATGAACTTAAGTTATTCTATTTTGACGCAAACAATGTAAAAAACGATAGTTTTGTTTTATAATGCAATAGCTTTTGTTGCTTGTGACGTTTCATTATATAATTATTTTTTACCTGAAGGTATATTATGAAAATATTATGAATAATAAAGTTAATTTCATGTGCGAATCATTTCCAACATGATAACCACTTGTCTTACGGTAAAGGAAAACAACATGAGGAAGCCTGCATGTCTGAGAGAACTTAGCAAGTGTTCGAAAGACATGTGAAGTCCGCCAACGCGCACATGGCCAGCGTGGCCTTATGGCTTGATCTCTCTCATATTGAAGGAAAGCCGTGCCCAGCAGTGGGACGTTAAAAAGGGATGAATACGATAAAGTTTATATTCGCAGTGAATTTTTGATATGGATTAATTAGATTATTATATATATTACTTAGGCAATTATGAGTACATTATTAAAAAAAATGTTCGTCGGTACCTGTTGCTTTTTAACCGACTTCCAAAAAGGAGGAGGGTGTATGTTCGTCTTTATGTATATTTAATAATAAAATGAGTATATAAGATTTTGTCCTAAATACGTTTAGAAGGAAACTAGGAATGACAAAAAAGTGTGTAGATTTTCTAGATTTTTTCGTCACAGTTTATGTTTACACTTAAAACATTAGTATTTTAATTTTTGAATTAGGTCTAAGTATATTTTCATAATATAAATCTACATAGTCCCAAATAAACTGGAGTCAAGATTGTTGATAACAAGCTATGCGGAGATAGCTACTCGTATTTGTTATAAGAATTTTCTTGTGAGATAGCTATAAGTAAAATAGATTTCTTAAAATTATTGCATGATCCTATTATAACAGTACATTTACACTTAAGCTTAAACTAGTGAAACGCCTTTCCTTCGCGTTTCAGTCATTGAAGCTAGCTAATTAACTATCTTTATACAAAGTACGAGTATCTTTACGATTCCCTGTTCAATTCTTGTTTGAAAGAACTACATTCGAACAAACAAACTTTCACATTTATATCATAAGTAAAATTTCTAACGTAAAGTACTATTTTATGTAAATAGCTTTACTAATTTTCCCTTAAGTGAAATTTCAATTCTTAAGTACCACCAGTATTGTAGCAAACATATCGACATGATTTATGTATCGATGCTTCACAGAGCTAAATAAACTTTCTATAATAGCTATTGCTAATAGAAAACTGTAAACGTACTATAGAAATGACATATTTATGAGTTATGACGCATGGTCATTCGTTAGTACAAATAAGTCACTAATTTCCAACAAAATCTATATGGGAAATAGATTCGCTCGTAAATAGAGATGCATATTTGCATGAGAGTTGATACAAAACATTGGTCTTTCCTTTAATGGCAAACGAACAGCGCCACCTTATGGCACATTTTGTTACTAGCAAGTCAATCTGAGTACTAATTTACATAATACACAAATTTTCGCATTTATAATATAACTA